GGCAAGCACAGTTACCATTTAAAACTARCACTCTGTACAGCAGAATACTGAAGGCTTCCTTTATATACACAGGGGACCTTAAATATCTAGTTGGCTAGGACACAGTTATTTTTAAAACCTTACTATGTTTTCATGTGGAAGATCCATATTGGAAAACCAGAACTATTATTCATTTTTGAGACAACTTACTAAAGCTTTTCATTTCATTGAAAARCTTTTTCCTGCTGAAAAGCAGAGAAATTATACATTTTCAAAATGAGGAACTACTCATCACTCTTTYGGGATAGAGCATAAACAACTGCATTGAGTGGTGGGCCATTTCTTTTTAAACCATTTGCAGAAAGACAAAAATATACATTTATAGTAAAACAAAAATCTGCATTACCTCTGATGTTCAAGACAGACGGTATTTCAACTCAAGACAAAAAGATTAAGAAATCACTGAAAGATTAAGCTTAAGAACTTACCCATCATAGTAAAAGTTTTTCCAGATCCTGTCTGGCCACTAAGAAGAAAAAAATTTGGTTGTGAATTTTCACTTATCTGCATATTTTATGATATGTTCATAGTTTAATATCAAAAATATTTTCTCCCAAAGTAAGAATTTGATGAAAAAGCCAAAAAAAAAAAAAAAAAAAAGCGCCATGGCCAAGTAGAAAATCAGTTAGCTAAAAAAAAGAAAAAAACTATGAAAATATAACAGTAAATCTGACAACAATTCTCTTATATAAGTCATATTTCCTCCTCCTCCAGCCATTTTCTTTGTTTCTGCTAAAGATGGAAACAGTGGAACTCAGCATTGAAATGAGAGCTTTCAAATTTACACATAAAATTAACTTTGCACTCAATGTTTTGGGCTTTGCGTTGAGTTTGTAGAACACAAACAAAAACAAAACAAAGAATCCTCACTTCCAAATTGAATAAATCCTTTTTATAAACAGCTATTAACCATGCTACAAAAACTTGAGGGCAATTTCATTTCATTTTTCTGCRTTTATACCTTATAACAAAGAAGATTTCAGTTGACAGTTTTGCAAATGCTGACATAATGAAAACAACTGTCCTTCTCTTTAACAACACAATAAGATTTGTATTTTTAATGTAAGAGTAAATAGTAAAATTGGAATTAGTTACAACTGACGTTATTGACTATGTTTTAGAAGCACAACAKCTATAAATAGATGTAATGTTATAGTAAGAAGTCCTCTTCAATACTGCAAGAATAGTCCCTACGTGGTGGTACACTAAACAGGGAAGCACTTTAAAGGCTTACTGTATCGTTAAGCCAGGCTCTGGGCCTAAAAACCACTTGCACTCMTTTATACAAAGTTCTGAAGTGTTGCAATTGACAGGAAATACCAGTAAATGACTTACTAAGCAAAGATTGTTCCATTATAGCCATTCATACAGGATTCAACAATGTTTTTGGCCACACTTGAAAATACAGACTCCTGGAAACAAGGGAGAGGGGAGAGAAGAAAAACAAGGTGGTTGGCACCTGTGGTTCAAATCTCTTGTCTATTAGCATTCGCTATGCTCTAACCCTCTAACATATAAAATACATTGCATTATTTAAAGCCACAATTGCATCGTACCCTTAGAGTTCTTTTGCAACACAACAATATATTGTAAGTGTTTGTGACACAAAATCACACATCCTGAAAAAAAAATCTTGTTTCAGTCTAAAAGAACAGTGAAAATGAGCATCATAATGAAGACTTCCAAAAATATATCACGTTAACAATTGTCTACTGTTTTAGGTTGTAACTATACGAGTTGTTTGTACCATCAGTAGGTTAAARATGAGTCCATCACACTGAAAAGGTCCTGTTTGCCGTAGATCAGTTGCACTGTGCTGTATTCAGTAATCCGAACAACTGTTACTCTCATCTATTATCACATATTTCTTAAACCTGCAATGATAGTTCAGCTCCAAATCATAGCCTTTCTCAGAGTGTTTTTTAGTGTAATATTTGTGTACTAAATAAAAGTTTTAAGCCAATACCATTGCATTAAAAATTAACACCCAAGAAAGAACCTTTTAAGAAAGGTTTAATGTAAATGCTGCCATAATCCATACAAAAAAAAAGTGCCATAGTGTTAAAAGGTTTTACCTGCGTTGTTTCCATATTTGCAACATAATCAAAAGTGAAGATCTTTGGCTCAGGCTTCGAATGCAGACGAATGGTGTTTGTTGAAAGTACAGACAGACACAAGCCTTGATCTCCATCAGGTAATGCAGTTCCCTCTGAAGGGGGCCGTACCCTTACATAAACTTTGATAGCATCACCTTCAACACTAAATGAATATTTATGCATTAGATCATTGGATTATTTGGAAATAGATCTATCAGCTGTTTCATAAAATGAAATCACAAAAATCAGATTAAGCATGTGAATTCAGACAAAAGTCATGAATTCATTACAAGTCAGATTCATTGAAGCTGAAGATAAGGCAGATTTAAGAACAAAGAACAAGTTAACTGGGATTTATGGCTGTTACATTTAACTTCAGCTCTAAAAGCACATTTCAGAGGGAACTTGACACGCACATAGACTATAAACAACAAAGCTTTCAGTATAGTAAAGGCTTTAGAATAGGCTGAGGCTAAGATTTCACGGTTCAAGCATCTTTCTTGCTACTGGAGGTGAGAAAAGATTTTATACACGAAGCAGATGATGATATATTCCAGTGAGAAAGTTACTCGCATTTTTCATTGCTGCTCACAAAAGGAATAGAATAAATTTAAGGGGGTAAGATGACTTCATGACTGGAATGTGGGATAGGGATATGGYAGAGGAAAGGGCTAAATTCAAGGAGCAGTGCAGAGGTATGTGGTACTGGATTTGAGACAAATGACAATAAGTTGCCAAAACTTTTCTCAGTATATAATATTATTTTGGGTKAGGACACAAATTTTGATTTTTCTTGTAGTATAGGACTTCCTGAAGAATTTCAAGCTTACTGTCCCTTTGGTGATAATCCAAAGGCAAATGAGAATTCATAGCAGCATTCCAAGATGAACCTGATGTCTTGAAACACCATTTTAATTAAGAGTAATTTTAAGTTTAGAGAGAAAGACAATAATCTTGTGCAGAAAATCGTTGAAGGAAAACTAACGTTTGCACGTTTGCTGCAATATGATTACTCATATAAAAGAACTGACAAATATTTCTTTACCTAGGCGAGTTCAACAAAGGTAACGTAGAGTCACGCAAATCTGCAAAACAGAAGTGAAAATACATAAATTTCACTTTATGTGAAATACCAAGTGCATGGAGTTATCTCAAAAGCAATTAAATAGAAAATACTGTAAACAACATTGAGGGAAATGATGAACATCTTTTTCTATGTTCATTCCATGATGATGCAGAACTGARCAAAAACTGTAAGTCTTTGACAGGATTTTTCTTGCAAAGATAGAAACCTCTAGTCCTGCAAAATAAGCACACAGAAGCTTTAACTTTATGTGCACAGGTCACCAATTAAAATGAATATATTTATTGAACATGAATTTTATGTGAATACACATGAAGTTTTGCAGGAGCTTTGGAGAATTCGAAACATAAATATGAATAGAATTGCCTGTTTTCATTATGCTTTAAAATTATTAACTCAGTGCAGGAAAAACATYGCCACAGTATGAAATAGCTTTATTGATGTGCCTGAGAAATCACAGCACCCGCAAATTGTGGGCACTGTTTCTGCTTTCACACGACTGGAAGAAGACTGAGCATCAGTCTGCGATGCACACGGTTCTCCTGTGCACATGATCATTGTTCTGCACAGCTTGACACGTCAGGCAGATTGCACAAATGACTCTGGGGACAAGCAGGATCATTGCTTTTTTACCTAAAGAGGAATTTAACACGAAATTATTTCACACAGCGTGATAAGAGATTCTAATTTAAAGATACAAGTAAATACAAATAGAATGACAACCAGAGGTGATTTACCAAGATATCAGGTCTCTAAACTTAGACAACTTTTACTGCAGGAGGATTTAAACCTACACTTTAAGAGTCGGGTTAGTAATAAGGCACAAAGGCACAGATCTCGACTARCGTTTATGCTGCACAACCATCCTGCTCCTACGTGTGCCAAACGGATGCAGGACAAGGCAGAGCATTGGAGCCTGCCGGCCACAATCCACAAAACATTCCATCAAGGCATTAGCTTCATAGAGCCAAAGGATAGACACTGGACTCGGAAGTGTCAAAACSAGTTAGCACGAGGGAACTGGTACATTTGAAGGAGTGAAATCAGACAGACGGGTAAAGAGGCGGGTAAAGAGACGGTTATTTATGGTGGGCCGCAGTTACCGGTGCCCAGCTCCCAAACGAAGGGGCTGGTCCCGGTTACGGGCACTGCAGGGCCACGAGCCCCTCGCACCGATGGGAGCCGAAGCTCTCACACGCAGGGGAGATTTGAGGGAATCACCCCGAGCGGCGCAGGGCGGGCGGCACAACGGGAGGGGGTGCCCGAGCCGCGGCCCCTGCGCAGGCCCCGCTGCCCGCCCGCTTCCCCCCGCGCCAAGGGCCACGGCGGCCGCCGCCGCCCGCTCTCCCGGCCCCGCTCCGCGCACGGGGCCCGGCGGCGGCGGCGGCGCGGGGGTGGTAGTGGTGGCTGCCGCTCACCTTTGGTGCCGGGAGCCATGGTGCTGCCGCCGCCCGCCCCCGCGGCCGCCGGCCCCAAAATGGCGGCGCGTTTGAATTTGGCGCTAACAGCGGCGGGCGGCACGGCCACACCCCCACGCTGAGGCGCGGTGGGCGCCGCCATGTCGCGCCCCGCCCCTTCCCGGCACCGCCTCCTCCGCTGCCATTGGCTGGAGAGGCGCCGCTCCCCTGTCACGTGACGGGGAGGAAGCGAGGAAGTGTGTCCCTCTAGGGCCGCCATTTCCCTCTCTACGCGCTCCTRTAGAGCCGGAAGCGCGTGAGGGGGCCGGCCGTTAACGGACGGGGCGCGGTGGGGGAGGGGCGGCGACGGCGGCTGGTGCCGCCATGAGCAAAAGGAACCAGGTCTCCTATGTGCGGCCGGCCGAGCCCGCCTTYCTGAGCCGCTTCAAGCGGCAGGTCGGGTATCGGGAGGGGCCCACGGTGGAAACCAAGGTAACGGCCTGGCCCCCGCGGCGACAGCGGGATATTCCCCCCTCCTCGGTCCCCTTCACCTCCCCCTCGGGCCCTGCCTCTGCTGCCGCCGTCGCCGCTAGTCCCGGGTCCGTGGGCTGCCGGATCTTCCCACGGCYCGTGTTCATGTGCCCAGCGATCTGTGTGGGCCGTGGCGGGAAATGATTGTGATGCTCCAGGCTTGTTAAAATCTGGAAGGGAATGAGAGGTGCTTGAGGTCTTAAGAATAGAGGGAGAAGAAAATATACTGGCAAAGAGGTGTGGTGTCCTGAAGCTAGGTCAGCTGATGCAAACACTAGTGTGATGGTGAGGTGCAGAGCTGGGCCCATAAGGATGTGAGTCAAATGTTTTGCGTATGTGTTACCAAACTGCAGAGTTTCTGCCAATTCCAGTGTTTTGCAGGATCCCCTAAGAAAAACAGTCTTCGTAAGTCATACCATAATTCAGTGTATTATGGATTGATTTGTTGCTTCCTGTAGAAGACGCCTGATTTTTAAATTTAAGCTGTAGTGCAATTTTTGTGGTAGTCCTGTTTGTGCAGTTATGTTATTGTCTAGTCGTACAGGCAGAAACACTGGGAGGACCCTGCAGGTGACCTGTATGTAGCAACCTTTGGGGCAGGGAGAGGAAAACAACCCRTCAAACAGCAGGGACAAATTGTTAGGATTGGCAAGGCCCTTATTGGAAAGATGTTTGGGACAGGGTGACATACAACTGGTTTAGCTACTGTTAAACCCAGCTTTGCCACTCAAAAGCTACGGCCTCTTTTCTGAAGTAACTTTGTATGACACTGTTCTTAAATGGTACTTAATTATGATAGTTCATTACTTAACGTAGAATGGTYCTTATGGCTTTTGTTCAAATAATAAGTGTCATCCAGTTAGGAGAGATAAGTTATTTGTGATAAATCCTTGTATTACAAACAAAGTATAGGCTTTCACTGCTAGCCCCGTTTGCCTTTACTGCCCTTTAAGATTCAATCCTTGTATGTAGTGAACCTTAAGCTGTATGTATAACTGCATGCGTATATGCACACGCACGGTATATGGCTTAAGCCAGATAGATCAGTGAAGTAATAAGTAATGATTTGTTACAAAATAAATGTACAAATGAATTCAAGATAAATTATGCCGTTAGCATGAGCTGTATCATTTCCTGGGGAAGACTGGAATTTGCCTGTTCCTGTGGTAACTTCATTTGATTAGGGTAATACTTCATATACTTTTTTTTTTTTTTTTTTAATAAGACTGTTTTCAGTTCCTATAATCTTACCAAACTTTGCATTATGGACTGAGATTTCTGTGGTGATTCTCTGCCTTAGACCAAGCTTGTTTATATAAAATTTTCAGCCCAAGTAATTCTTTCTCATAATATGAATGAGGGAGAGTGGAAACAGGAAAGTTATCTCCCTTATGTTAATAATGTTTACGATTTAATGGGATAGCTTTAATAATAAAGCTGCAATGGCTGCCCTTTTCCTTCTCACTGTTTGAATATAACTCGGACAATTCAAATTTGATCCCAGACATTTAAGAGTATCTTAGTGTGATGTGACAGATATTATTTCTATGAATAAACGCAGTGAATTTCTTACCTTCCAAGCTCATACTGCTTTGGTCTTTAATTGAAAGAACACATACTGTTTTTTTTCCCCARGAATCTGTGTGTCAGTGGTGGAATTGGACTATTAACCTTGTGCCCAGCTGCAGCAGCTCCCCAAGAGCCTGTTTAGTTGCCAAGTGCCAGCAAATCCTAACAGACTTTGGCTGTACTTACTGTACTGCCATGAGGGCATGAGGGAGCGTGCCTGGTGGGCCAGAGTAATGTACACCCTTTTCCTGATGGGAATGACAGTGACTCAGTGTTGTTTGGACAGTGTGTATTAGGAGAGCTTGGCACTGAAAGCCTGGCCTCCTTACTAACCTTGTAGCAGAAGGGAAATGAAGGATTGATCACGGAATGGTTGAGGTGGCAAGGGGCCTCTGGACATCATCTAGTCCAATCCCCTTGCTTAGGGACGCTGAGAGTAGGTTGCCCATGAACATGTCCTTTTGAGCATCTTCCAGGATGGAGACACTACCACCTCTCTGGGAAGCTCATTTCRGTGCTCCTCAGGAAAAGCTTTTTGTTAGTTTCAGACAGAAATTCCTGTGTTTCAGTGTGTGCCTTGTGCCTCTCTGGGCCCTACTGAGAAAAGTCTGTCTCTGACCTCTTTACACCCAAGATTACTAGCCTCACTCTTGCATTTTAGCAGTTGTGATTTGATGTGGTGATCAGAATTGATTTTGTCTCTCTCCTGGCTRGAGAGAACAGCTTCCAACTCCAGATGAAGACAGTGACAATGGCAGCGACAAAGAAGATGAGCAGCCTCAAGTGGTGACACTGAAAAAAGGGGACTTGACTGCAGAAGAAGCAATGAAAATTAAACAGCAAATCAAAGAGGCCTTAAAATCAAATGAATCAGGTGAATTTCAAATTATTAATTGCTTTATATAGCCAAAAAGAGAGAAAAAATGTAAAATGAAGCTTGGTGWTACTGCTTATTGTTTAGTATTACCTCTGATTAGTAGTGGTGGKTTTTTTTTGTTTATTTTTTGCTATAATCGTTTGTGCTTGTGATTCCTAATCTGAACTATTTGAGTGCATGTCCAGAATCTGCAAATTTATCTCCAGATTTTTATGATKTTGCAGTTACATGCTTCTTGACTGTGCATCGAACCTCCGTATAGTGATAATCTGTTTGTTTTTGTGTTGAGTGTCATCTTGATAAACAGTCTTCTTGTCATCACCTGTGATAGCTTTTGAATCCATTACTCAGCTCAGTGAAATGTGATAGAGGTGAGGAGTCTGAAAGACAGCAATATGAGCTGGTGAGAAAGAATGCCTGGGTAGAAGGAGTAAACTCAATGTAATGCTTCAAGGAGAGAGCGGCTGGTTGTGCAAGCCCCCTAACGTGGCCAGGTAGCTGAATGGCTGTGTGTTAGTTCCTCAGAATCAGCCCCAGTGTGTGCTGTGACTTCCGCGGTTGTGAGGGCATGGGAAAGACCTAGGAGTAGTGGAAGGAGGTTTTTAAGAATGTATGGAGGGAGGTTGTAGGATGAAAAGAGAGAGATGTTTTTTTCACTGCTGGTATTTTGGAACATTGACTGTAGTAAACAAACCATAATAAATTCGACTTTGTTACTTCTGTGGTTCATCGCACAGGCAATGATTCATGTTTTGTGCCATTTTGTATTTATGTAATTATTAAAAAGTTTGAAATACCTACTTTATGTCATTATGATCTAAAAAAAAGTGTAGATTTTTACACTAAAAAAATCCTTTTTTGCTGCTTAAAGTAATGAAAATTATATCTTCTTATTCCATCTTCCATACGCAAATAAGAAACTCTGTAGGGCCCTAAAGGAGAAGGATACAATCCATTAGTTTGTTGTTGCAGGAAAATGGTGTCAAAGCAGTTATCAATGTGGGATGATGACAGAGGAGTGAAWAAAATGAAATACCTCATTTCAAATCACATCTAGTACTCTGGCTCTTGATTGGAAAGGGCTAATTTTATTGTACTGTTAAATCCTTTAAAAAAAAATGAATATTGCTTTACACTCTTAATAAAATAAGTAAAAATTTGATAATTCTGGGTAGAGGTGATTAGCTGTTCTCAAAAGTCTTAATGAATACATTTGTTTTAACTTTTTCAAAGTTAGCAACTAAATGAACTGGAGTAATACAAATTGGACTTCTTCATTAAAATGTCAGCCTTAGTCAGAGTTAGATAAGCTAGGAAAGAGGGAGAATTTTTTTTCCACAAATAACCTGAAAATCAAATCTTCCTTACATCTGRGAGCCTTCTAATATATATATAATTGATATCAGTGAAAGCTGCATTTCTGTTTCAGTATGATAAAACATAAGCAATGTACAGATTTTAAATATCTGTTTAAATTGTTTTGCTGAATGACCTTTCACAACGGCTTTGCATGTAAACCTATGCTACAAACAATTATGCAAAATTAAATGATTGTTGAATGTAATATAGTCGAATGTAACGTGATACAATAATGGCAACAGTCACTTGGAAAAAAAAGGAAAACGTTTCTTTGTAATGGTTTTATCTAAGTAATAGCATAGGCTTTTCAGCAATGAAAAGATGAAGTGGTGTGGAAGTGGTTGTTGCAGTAAAGGCACAAAGTTATGCTTGATGTATGCAGTTAAAAATAACTGTGAGTATTCATCATTCAGATATTGTTGACACAAATGCTTTGAGAGTCCCAAACTCTTGCATCATAACATAGGATGCGAAGAACTGTAGCTTTGCTCTGTGCATGTGTGTGGATAGATAATAGGTTGACAGTGCTGTCTTTAGAGGAAAGTGTCTTGACACAATTAGTGAACTAGAACTGGAACCTCACAACTATAAAAGAGAAAGATGGTTCATAGAAGTTGTGGATATTTTTTTTCTTGCCTGACCATTATGGCTGTTTCCAAGGCTATAAATGGAGCTCACAGCAGAATGAGAGGCTAGCACAGAGATACTAGTATTACATCCATAGGCGCTTCTGTCTTTCTCTACCATTTGGATTAGAGAATTCAGATTTGAGCTGCAAATCTGCCCTAATATAGGAGTATGTGTAAAAATCTAAATGATAGGAAAAGGAGAAGTTAAAAAAAAACAGTAGAGGAAACATACATTGCAATTTTTATGGTTTTGAAAAGCACATTAATGAAAAAAATTTAAAATTTTATAACATAACTTAGCTTTGAAGTAAATGATATTATTTATTTCTGTAGGTAGCTATATAAAAGTGGTAGGGATAAGCCATGAGAGAACCAAGGGCTATATTTATATAGTTCAAGCTCCTCTGAGAAAATGTGCTCAGCTTCCTGTTTGCTGCCTGGTCCCTTTTTTTGAAGTGTAATGTGTGTGTGGTGGTGGTGGTGTTTGTAAAGCTGTCATATGTCTTCTTTTAAAAAGGAGTGTCACTTTCTAGGTCTTGAGGGAAATTTCAGCCTACTGAAAGAAAATAAGACTCTTTTTGAGCAATTTCTCATATAGGCCACTATTATAACAGCCACTGGAATTTTGTGTGGTAACAGTAGGAGAAAATGTGATTATACAAGAAAGAAGCAGTTGTCCAGGAGAGTCTATTGAGATGGAGTCCATGCTGTGAAAAAAGTCCAAAGGCAGTTGATTCACCAAGTTGAGCACAGTATAAAATTGAAATGTATTTGAACAGAGAAACTGAGCTTCTTCTCTGGTGGAAAAAGACCTTCCTAAAGCATAAGTGCATGCAATAATTTTACTAGTATTGAGCCCCACTAGGGCTTTGGCACTTCTGCTTATCACCTGCTCCTCCCTGGAATATCAACTTGCAGTTGAAGGGAAAGATGCACAATAGGGAGTAGCAGGATTGTGGAGCCACTGTACTGTGGGGTCCGCTGCTCTCTATTTTGAGTTCTGTTACTATTTGCTCTTTTTTTTTTTTTTTTNTTTTTTTTTTTTTTTTTTTTTTTTTTTTTTGCATCTAGGAATCAACAAAGTATGTGACATCTCCTCTGCTCTGGAGAGGGCCAGGTTGAGGTCAGGTTTTCAGTGGAAATTTGGGTGACAGTTCTGAGCTTGTTGAAAGTTTCTCTGCGTCTGTGTGCATCTGTGCCCTGCCAGTTAGAATTCTAGTTTTAAATTCTGATTTCTAGTCAGAGGCGGATATTTAGGCAGATGATTGCTYCTAATTTAATAGGGAGAGTTTTGACTAACATTTTGCTGTACTGTCTTTTTTGGGCTAATTATCACACAAAATGGTAAGTGTAATGAAGGTTCAGGGTTGTGTAATTTGATTACATTTCTTACTGCTTTTATTTTTTCCAAGAGTTGAAAGTGAAATGAGTTTAACAGATACTAGATTATAATATATAGCACTGAATCAGTTCATCAGTAAAACTATGTGAAGACTGAAGGAGTAYCAGGGAAGCACATTTTAGAACTGCTAATCTTTTCCACCATGTTGAGAGTAGGGCCAAAGCATTTTGATAGATCTTAAGTAATGTGTTTCTCATTGTTTGTTGTGACTAGAAGTTGTCTGTTAGTTTTCCAAAACACCACAGATAACCAGTTTGGAGATTCTGCTTCCCTTTGTCTATGTATCTGAAATGATTGTATTCATCTGAAGGTCCCTGTCTTCAGGCTTTAGTTTGGGATATTATTCTAGGATATTACAAATCTCACTTACTATTTTCTGCTTCATTTTGTTCAATTGGCTAAACTTTTGTTTCAAGAACCAGCAGTTCCTGTGACTGACTTTTTGTTTAAAGGATGAGCTTCAGTCTTCCATTAATTGGGCAAAAATAGTTGATTAATGTTCTAGCCATGCTTAGCTGCCTCCTAGGGCAGAGCAAAATTTAGTAATGCTCTTACACTGGCTTTGCAAGTATAGTAGTGCAGAAYTTTTTTAGCTGGCTTAACCTTCTCTATATTAAAAATCTCTTTCTTTGCTGAAATCCTTTTATCCATGGTAGACTGACTTACAGGCTTTTTAAAAACAAGTCATTTGTTTACCAACAGTCATTCTGCTTAAGAATTTTATAGAGTATTTTATAAATGGTTTCTGTCAGTCCAGAGATAAATAAAAATGGTCTTATGAGAAATGAAAATTGCACAAAAGATGGTAATTGCTGCAAGATACTTTCTCCTAGAATTCATTAGAGTCTCTGGAATTGATCTTTTTTTTTTTTTTTTTCTCCTTCGCCTTTCCCCTCTCTTCTCTCCCTGCTGCCTTTCTTGTTCTTCTGGCCTTGGGGACATTCTGATACATGCAGATGACCAAATTTGTCAGGAGGTATCCTTACTCATTTGAAGTCTCTTAGTRTTATTCTTGTGTCATTCTATATGATGGGAAGTAGAAGAGGAAAAGAGAGAGGAGAGACAAAGAGGAGCTAGTGCCTTCTGCCTGTCTTGAATCTCAGAGTTCTTAGCTCAAGCCACTGTTTTATCACATTTAGAGTTTGTGTTGCTTTTTATCAAGTGAACAGTAGGAATCTAAATCAGGGCTATTCTTACAGTATTTAAAAGAAAGAAAGAAAAAGACACCCTGCCCCGCTCACCCCTGAACTGAAGAGCAGTCTACTGCTCTTTGCTTCTACATTTTGTCACTTCTRCTCTGCTTGTGAGATGCATCTGGTAACTAAAGGAGGGAAAAACACTTCTCTGAATTTGTAGTGTCTTAAGCTGATGTCACTTGTGATCTTTCAACTCCRTATCTGAATATATCACTCTGCCAGCATAAATGTTTGTGATCCAGGCCTGAGCATGGATCTTAGCTAAGAACTTTTTATTGCWTCTTCTGTGATGCTGACTGGTTGGTTGGTATTTTGGTTATTTTTTTACCTTGTGTGTTCTAATGCATTTATCAGAAATCCTTTCCTTAATTTATAGTACTGACATAGTCTTTTATCAGGGCTCTATCTTATACTATTTTAAAAACTACCAATAGTGAGATTGCTTCCTGAATCTCTTTTTTTTTTTTTTTTTTTGCCTGCTTACTGCTTAATAATGATTAACAATCAGTTTCTGTTGGTCATCGATGCAAGCAGCAGCTTGCATCAGCTTGTACATCAGCCTAGTAAAATTAAAAGAGATAAAGTGACTTTATTAACTGAAAAAGACAATCATAGCAAATCAACATTAAATTCTTGAGCTATTAAATCATATTCTTTCAAAATGCCTAATCTTTCTGTTCCGCTCTTTACACTAGTTGCTTAAGGAGAGCCAGACCTACTATGTCTCCTTATCTGATTCGCTCTTTGTCAAGCTCTGCGGACACGTCTTAGCTGTCTGAAGTTGGTCTGAGTTTTCTACTGACGTGAACTTTGTTGAGCATACGTATAATAAAATTTTGACAGTGTTTTACTGCGCTATGTTCTCTCCTTTATTGCAGAATAGTACACAAATTAGACGATGGACTTGAAGTTCAGAGCTAACACAGTTGCTGTTTTAATGGCATTTCTGAGCTTCATTCTATTTATGCCTTTTGTTTATAAAGATTTTAAACTCATATTGCAAATCTCTGTTGGTTACTGCTTCTTGTAGACAAAGTGAAAGGCTTAATGCAGTTCACGTAGCGGGGCTGCTTAGAGCAAAATTTGAAACTTCTGTTTTCTATTTTTCCATAGAGTATGAACACATAGTTTAGCTGATCTGTTTTGCAGGTATGGATTGTTATAATTTTGTTTTTTTAGTTTACCATTCTAAAAGTGTAGTGACCACTCTCATAAGAGCATCTCCAGAGACTTGGACCTGACTCCTTGTGCTTCTGCAGTAGCTGGTTGCTTTGAAGTCCTGTTTCCACAGCTTCAACTGGTGCTGCCTGCAATCTCTGTGTTCACTGAGAGAAGAATATAGACAGTTAGGTCTGCTCTCCAGGATCCAACTACCATTTGCTTGTTAAATTAGAAGAACCTGGATCTCCTTAGACAAAAACTCCACTGTTCTCTTGTAGCTGACCAGCAATCAGTAGGTGAATTATTTTACATTAAGCTTCTGAGCCCCAAAATGGAGTTTTTGATAGGAAAATGTATATATATTTTTAAGTTTAGCRTAACTACTGAGAGAATTGATAAGTACTGTATTTAGATTGGCCAGATATGGCATATATTAAGGAATAGTAACTTCTCCCTCCCATAGTGTACTGTGGACACTTATTAAACCTGTATATATACAAGTTTAAAGTTACATATGTAGCATCTAAACACCTMAGGTTTTTTTGGCATACGATTCACAAGGGAGCCATTGATAAACATGCTTTTAATAACTAGTGTTTATTATAGCTGGTTATTTCTTATAATTGTAATGCTTTTCTAATCTATAAATACTGAGTTATCTCCAAAAAATCTGGTTAGTTATTTTCTGTATTGTGTTATTTCCCTATATACTACTGCAGAAGTCTGCGTTCTGCAGAAGTCATAGACAGAATTGGTGCTCCTTAAGGAAGCTCTTTAGGCTGTTTTTCTTCCTTTGGAGGAAAAGAAAAAGCTCTTGGTGGAGAAAAAAAGGGAATTATAAGTGAAATTCTCTAATTAAGTTGATATCTTGATTTGTACTACAAAAATATTTAATATAGTTGATCTAATAGTTTTATTGTTTGGAGCCTGCACTGCACATAACATAATCTTATCAAGCACTAATATATTGTTAGGAATTTCTCTTGAATAATTTATTCACAAAACTACTTTAAGAAAAATGTCCTGCAGGGAACCACTATGGTTCTCTGATATTCATCACATACACATTATAAAAATTGTGAACTACTGCAGCATGAGCCCCCCCCCAAAAAAAAAAAAAAGTTTTCACTGTTGCTTTATTATTTCATTTTCTGGCTGATTTTGGCTGTGGGGAAAAAGAAAAGACAATAGTGAAGTTCTGTGTATGTATCATTCATGTGAAGATGAGTTCTGATTTAACTCTCATTTTCATAGATGGTGAACCAGAACCTGCTGATGGAAAAATTATGTTCCGGAAGCCCACCAAGCGCTCCTCAGAGAAGTGTTCAGATCTCAATGTAAGTTCAAGTAAGAAGCTGCAAGAGGCGAAGAAAGCTAAAAAAGAAGCATCTACACCTCAGAGTGCAACTAAGCAAATAAAAAACAGCAGTCTTCTCTCATTCGATGATGAAGAAAATGATGATTAGGAGTTGTATGTATTTATATTTTACATATTATTTCAGGGAAGAGAGTAAGATTGAGTGTTTTCTTAGAAACTGAGTGTTATTGTCTTACTTTGTCTTCTCTTTGTTATAATCMAACTAGAGTAACGTAGTATGAAACTAGTGAGAGCAAAACTGAGCTCATTTTTTTCATTTCAGATGGAACTGTATAAGCAGTATCTCATGTTTTTTATTTTTAAAAGAGAATTTAAACGTGTATGTTAATGTTATTTACCATTGCAAAAGAGCAACAAAATTCACCTCTGCATATCCAGATTGCAATCCAAGAAGCACCATAATGGTAATTTGAATTGATTATGCTAGTACAATCAATCAAATCAAAGGAGTTTGATTCTAGTTGATTGTCCCAGCCTCTGCAAAAGAAAATGTCTCAACCATATTGGATAATCTCCAAAAGTTATCATGCTTAATTGGCTCAGAAGTATATATGTAGATGCATAATCTTGGGGTACTGTTTATTTTAAAACCTGTATGTTATCTTTAAGCTATGGAAAACTGTTTATTGGTTTGTTTTTCACACAGTAGGAAATTTTAAGCAGGAAATCTAAGTCAAGAAATGTTACAGCTGTGATGAACCTTTCACTTGACCATGTACCATTTGACCATGACTGTTGAAATAGACTACTTTTGGGTGGYTTATGCAATAGCACACGGTAAAATTAAAAATAGCATTACAAGCTGATGAGATTGAGGAGAACAAGGTGGTGGAAATAAGTCTAGTGGCTCTGAAGTATCCTGAAAGTGCTGTGTGTTCTGCAATTGTATGTAAGCCAGACCTGAGACTGCTGCGGAATTACAGGATGTGAGGCTATGGAATCAGTTCTGCTGCTGTGCCACAGGATGTTCAAAATTATTYGGGCCATAAAGCTTCATTGAGGAGCAAATCTGAAGTTGCTGTATGAAACAGCTGTTTTAAAATTGTTAATGTGGTATTAAACAATAAATTATGTTTTCTATATGTAGTCCAAGTGTTTTAAATTGAAGTTTCAGGGCATAAATGGGATTTTTAGAGTAACCTGCTGACCTGATGACTCCAAAGCCTGCAAGCCGCTTATCATTGCTACCTGTCTGCATAGTAACTTCCTGCAGCATAAATCATATGTAAGTTTGTGTACGATTTCATACTAATTTTGTGAGTGCATCTTCCCCCAGTTTTGGAGATGAATAGGTATAGTGTGATTTYAGGGAATTAAAAGCAGACCTATAATGGGATATTCAAGTTTTGAGGTGGCACTGGTTTGATGCTAGAATTGCCAGAGGTACAGTATGATAACTTGACTAGAAAGCAAAACATATGCAAGAAAAGAAACACTGAGTCAAAGGTTTCTGAAGATTAATCTGTCTGTTCATTTTCTATGGTAAAACCTTGTCTGAAAACACTTTTTTTTAAATCAAGTATACTCATGGGAAATCCTGTAGAGTCACAGTATATTGAAGGAATATTTTGTGGTATTTCTTGGATGGAGTAAATATTCTGACTTGCTGAGGATCATTGTAAAGAATGAGTTCACATATGAGTATTTAGCTAAACTTTACGGATTCTGTTTGTCAGCACAAAAATCCACTGGGCTACATTTTTTTTTTTTTTTTTTTTTTCTTCTCTCTTTAGCTGCAAGGCAGTTTCAGAGACATGGTTATCAAGAGGTAAATGCTTGCCAAGGATCAGAAGGAATTTAGATTTACCTTACAATTTGAGAGGCCCTCCAAATATCCTGCTTATTTGGCGCGCTTAAAATAAGATTGATGTCCTATTTGAATCCAGTCAATAATTGCATTTAAAGAAAATTTACTCTTCTTAGTGAAAGGTCAGTAAAAAGAGGGTTAGCTCGGAGTACTGGGTGCAATACTCTTGCTTAATCATCTTCCCTGCCCTGCAACTTCATGCATTCCAGACACCTGCCAAATACATTAATTGAATTTGCTTGGAAATAGTATAATGGAAGGCATGTTGTTGTTCAGGCAACACAGCAGGGAGAAGAAAGGTGAATAGAGAAACACAGTTTCTTTCCTTTATCCTGTCTGTGATTTGTAGTGCTCTGAGCGGGAGACCTTTGTGTTCGTTGTGTTTCACTCCTGGTTCACTTAACAATAATTAATTGGATATATTTTATTAAGAGGTGTGAGTGAAGCACGAAAGCGTTTTAGTCAGGTAGCCATGTGAAATTTCAGTGTTCTTAATGTGACACACCAGGAAAATTATACACGCCATCAGCTCCCCATGGAACCTGTGACTAAAGAGAACAATTACTTGTTCATTTAGGAAAGAAACGTGAAACTGTCTTAAGCAATCACCTGGCCTTGGCAGTGGGACTTGGGGAAAATAATAAGCGCAAGAACTTTCTAATAAGAAGGAGGCTAAAGTTGTGTATGTGGAACATGGGACTGGAATGGACAAATTTCACAGAATCACAGAATATTCAAGGTTGGAAGGGACCTCTAGAGATCATCTAGTYCAACCTTCCTGCTCAAGCAGGCACACCTACAGCATGTGGCACAGGGCGGCATCCAGGCGGGTTTGGAAGACCTCCAGAGAAGGAGACTCCACAACCTCCCTGGGCAGCTCTGTCACCCTCACAGTAAAGAAGTTCCTCCTCACCTAGAGATGGAATTTCCTGTGCTCCAGCTTATATCCATTTCCCCTTGTCCTGTTGCTGGCCACCAATGAGAAGAGCTTGGCCCCTTCTTCCCTGCATTCTCCCTTCCTCAACTTATACATGTTAATCAGATCCCCTCTGAGCCGTCTCTTCTCCAGAGAAAACAGGCCCAGCTCACTCAGCCTCTCCTCATGTGAGAGATGTTCCAGTCCCTTAATCGTCTTAGTTGCTCTCTGCTGGACTCTCGAGAATCTCCTGATTATTTATTTATTTTTATTTTTACCTTTTCCCTTCTTTATTGGGAAATATGTTTTGCTTATTGATTTTCTGTTTGTATGTTTGTGTTTTCTTGTGGAGCTTGCTGTCTAAATGCGAGAGCAAGTGCAATGGAGGAGCAAGGTGGAAGTAGCTTAATGAGATCAGTAAGCTTTTTAGCATGCACAATATAACTTTATTTAGTCAGATGTGGCTTGTTACCCAATATGATCGTTTTGTACATTTTTTAATAGGGAAAGTTTTGAAATTTCCAAGGTCCTTAGGTCTTTAATATATTTATTCACAGTGATGATAATTCTCACTTCTCATGGCTTAGTAGTAAGCTGGAACGGTGGTGAACCCTTGTAGTATTGTGGCTGTGGTTGCTTAAAATGGAGGTTTTGTTACATTGCAAGGATCATCCTTCCTGGTGATATCCAAGCACCTTTTTTCAGGGCAGTCCTGGTGAGACTATTGAGACAGAAGTTGCAAAGACATGAGATGGAGTAAGCAAGAAAATGTAAGTATGAGGCAGTGGCCCAAGAGTTTCTTCCTATATTGTTATTATTCCATAATACTATTTTTTCATCAAATAAAAACAAAGTTGTAGGGATGGCAGATGTTCATTTCATTGGCCTGAACAGGACCATAGGAGTGAGAGAATTTTATCCTGAGAGGATTTTTTTGGTCCATTTCTTTCCCAATTTGGAGACTCAGAGGCTGTGTTTTGTAGACACACTCAGCCTGAGAAGCCTGTATTTAGCTGCTCTAATTACATGTTACACATTTTTAAAGATTCATCATTAGACTTGATGTATTTTTTTTCAACCGTGCTGCAGTATATAGCCCTGTTAGGCAACTGCAGATTTATAATGAAGCAGGAAGCAGCAATGTCATTATTTTGGCTGATGGTTGCCCTTGTGCTGCAGTGCCTTTACTAAGCAATGCTCCACTCAGCTGCGTGGAGCCACGTGTGCTCTCAAGGACACAAGGTTGCCTGAGCGTGAGTCATTACCTTAGCAAACCAGGAGAGCTGTGATGCACAGGCACAGCGAGTGTTCGTCCCTTGAAGCCAATCAATAACCAATAGCCCTTTCCCCTGGCAAGCTGGCACCAATCAATGCTTCGTGCATCTGCTGGAGGGAAAGGCTGGGGTATCGGCTGCTTCTTCAGGATCAGCCCATGATGCCAGTTGCTGGGGTCAGCAGTTAGTCCGAAAAATAAACATTTCTGTGTTGTAGAAATCCCCTTCTGCTAGACTTCCTCAAGTATGTTCCAGATGCAGCAAGTACAAGGGTAAGAGAAATACTAAGAAGTTTTGTCTAAATGGCAGTAATSGCCTGTAGGACTCCTCAAGATTTTGAGAAGCGATAAAATCCTAGGGCCAGATCCTGGAAAATAATTTTTTCCTGAGCAAAGTAGATGGGAACATTATGGAAAATTACCTAAAATTGGATTTTATGGCACTTCTGCCATTATGACCTCTTGTTCTTGCCTTTTTTTTTGCAGGAGGTAATGCAGGAGTTAGCAAAGGCAGCTTTCCTCTGTAGAAAGATGTACAGGAAAGTGGCTTTGGTGCCATTCTGATCAATATGGCTAAGGATTCCTTTCCCTTGACTCCCATGTCAGCCCTCAGTACAGGGATTGCCAGTTAATAGGTAAGACCACGGGTAAGAGGGAGCTACTTTGTAATAGGCAGAAGTTATTAGAGGAAGTTTTTGTCCAGCCTCCAAGGAGTAGCACTGATCACTGCACACTTAGTTCTGCTRTCATAAAAGAGTTGTTCCCTTAGGGACAACATAGTAACAACGAACTTTAAAAGGGCAGATTACAAAACTATAAGGAAAATGGTTAACAGCAGGCTGAAGGGCAAAGAGAAATCCTTAAAAACCATAGAGATCTGCCTGGAGGCTATTTAAGAACATTGTATTAGAGGCACAGATGGTTTGTATACCTCTGAGCAAAAACATAGCGTGTGAACAAGGATGAAACTCACAGGGTTACGTGGGAGAAAAGTGAGTACAGTGAGGCAGAAAAGGCATCCCTTAAAAATGACAACTGTCTGAATGACAGGCTAGGAATCATCGTCAGGAGAGTGGAAAGAGCTAGAAAGTGACAGTACTAAGAAAAAGGCTATAGCAGCTGCTGACTTTGGATCCCCAGGATAAAACGCTGAAAACAGTGATTTTAATAAAGTGCTGAGCACTTGCCTTTGAAAACTGGGCTACTCCGAAGGAGATTTCAGTGTAAAAACAGGAGTGTTCTTCATTTGATTTAGCTAGCACAAAACAAAGTCTTGATTAAGACAAAGCAGTCCATAGTATTAATATGTCAGTTGGCTAAATTTAAGAGTAAGGGCGATGTAGCTGATTCAAATATAGTTTCTTCAGGAGTTTTAATTTCACCTTGTCTTAGATTCAGTGCCAAAAATACTATTTAATCTTTGCTAAAGAATGTAGAGGTAAAATAGCAAGTTTTAAGTTTAGTAAAATCAAAAAGTCTACATTGGTCTGGAACAGCTTTGGTCTGAGAGGGGTACTTCCTGACAAGGATGTAATGAGGTTTGCAAAGCTTTTCTCCACCAGCGTGGAATTAGACAATACTGCTGTCCTATGTATGAGAACAGGAACACGCTGATTATAAACTAAAAGGGAAATGACCATCTTAAGGATTTCGTAGATGTCCTTGAAATCTGATGGTATATGCTAGAAAGTATCCTGGTGATATCAGGAGAAGTTATTTTCTAGCTTAATATAAAGAAAAGCAGAGGAAGGCTGGAATAACTGTTTTGGGCATACGAACATGATCCACACAGTCCCAGTGGACTCCAGCCCTGGCATCTGGGCTGTTTTACTGTGCCTGGGTTCAATGGAAACAAGCAATAGAGCTGCCTCAGTCTCTCCTTTTCTCCTCTGACGTGCCAACTATCTCCAGAGAAGAGATTAAGCATCGTTCTGATCAGTGCTGCGGCAGCAGCAGCAGTTTTGTAATTTAAGGACTGCATAAAATTTATGGAGCACTGA